GGAAAGGGTTGGGATGGCTTTGTGGTCTGCATCATGCGGGAGGTCAGACTAGATGATCATAATGGTCCCTTCTGACCTTAAAGTCTATGAGTCTATGAGAAGGGATTTAGATGAGAGGTGTTAGCAGGAAAATAAACTCTGTTTAGATATGTTGAGCTAGAGATAATAGCAAATCATTCAGGAGGCTGTGAAGAAAGGAAAAATAGTCCAGCGGTTAAGGCACTAGCCTGAGACTCAGCAGGCTTGGGATTCACTTTCTTGGTCTGTCACGGACTTCATGTCTGCCCTAGCACAAGTCACTTTGGCCTGGTCTGCACTTAAAAGTTAGGTCAATAAGCTACATTGGTCAGAGAGGTGAAAAATCTACACCTTGATTGATGTAATTATGCCAACCTAACCCTAACCCCATGGTGTAGCTGCAGCTATGTCGACAGAAAATGCTTCTATTGAAGCAATCGTCATTCAGGGAGGTGGTATTCCTACACCAATGGGATAACCTCTTCCATTGCATCTATACTATGGGGTTATGCTGGCATAGCTATGTTGCTGTAGCTATGCGAGTATAGTCTCTGTAGTGTAGATGTTCCTTCACTCTTTCTGTATCTCAGTGATTCACATGTAAAATTGACATAATAGTGCTTTCCTACCTCAGGGATGTTGTGAAGAGGATTATTCTCCGATTGTACAGTAATGGGGGCCATATAAGTGGCTAAGATAGATATACCCGTTAGATAAGGGTGACTTGCCCAAGGGTATGTATGTGTAATAGATTCAGTTGTATGTATGTGTATGAAAGTGATAGTTAAAGCCATGGGAGGGCAGGGGGTGAACAAGATGATCTATGGCATGAGTACAAGTATGAAGATGAGAAGAAGACTTCAGGTGGAGCCACGCAGTACACCAACAGGATTGAAGGAGACTGAAGGAGCAGTTAGAGAAGAGAAAAAAGAACGGAGCTGTATAAGCCCTGAGAAAAGGAAGTGACCAACGTTTTGAACGAACACTAGAATTTAGAGAAGATTTATTTTTCATTTGATTTATGGTAAAATGTGTAGTTAAGCAACATGTTGTGTAGACACAAATAAACTGGGAAGCTAATCTTTCTGAATATTAACATTCTTCCATCAAAATGGTTTTTGAGATCAGATAAAATTATATAGACTGACATATATGTATGTATATAATTTGTCTGCCTAAGCATCTTGTTCTTTTCTTTGGAAAAATAATTACTATTTTTTAGTATTTCCTCTATTGAGATGGGGTTCAATTTAAAGTTTAATTTCACGTTCCCCCCCGAAGTATAAACCATGATCTTGTATTTTAATTGAATATGTACTTTTGTTCTGCATATACAGTATTTCACATAGTCTTTATACAGTGTTTTTGTATTACAAAAGGGCATCTAAAATTGTTTTGCAGACTAATATTTCAGGAGAAATAATAGGTCAAGATTTTAAAAAACAGGAGCCTACTGTTTAGGTTTCTAAATCCAACTTTAAGCACCAAAATAAGTGGCCTGATTTTCAGTAGTGCTGATTACCCATTTTTATTTAAGTACCTAAATATGGATCTAGGAGCCTAAGTTTAAGTTTAAGTTTATTTATATATATATATATATATATATATATATATATATATATATATATATATATATATATATATATATATACT